TTAAAATTTTATTTTTCAACATCTTGTATGGATAGTTTTTCTATTCCTGAGAATAAACTGACACTGTAGTGTTTTTTACTATATAATCTCCTTTTAGCAGGGTCAATAAATATTTATTAAGAACTGTGTGTGTGTGTGTGTGTGTGTGTGTTAATAATAAAAACAGGTAACTGTCAATGAATTATTATTGTTTCAGGACTGCTCCAACCCCTTTACAAATAGAAGTCACCTATTACAATAGCCCTGTAATATAGTATCCCCATTTTACAGATGAGGGCACTGAGGCACAGGGAGATTATATGATTTCCCCCAGAGTCACATGATTAGAAAACTGCTGAGTCAGGATTAGAATCCAGGTTGGTCTGACTCTGGAACTCCCAATGTTGAGCAACAAAATAAAATTTAACAAGTTATGTCCCCGGGGTTCCCTCAATATATTCTGGAGGATCTGCAAGTTCTTAAATTCGATAAATTCAGCTAAAGCATGCCTTGCATTGTGGACACGCACAATCATTTTCCCTGATTGCTGAGGCAAAAAGGGCTGACAGGAAATAGTACCTACTTAGAAAAATAATCCGTCTCTCTTACACAACAGCTATTTGGATTGCTCACACCTGCGTAAATAAAGGAACACAAGATAAGGAGAAAAGTCACCAGAGGAACCGTGGCCCACACAAGGAGGCACAAGGCAAATATTTCGCGTGTAGATGCAGCATGGCTAATGCCCAGGGAGCATCCATGATGCTTCATGACATGACTGAGGAGCTTCTGGAAAGACGACTACATATAGCTCCTTGCCTCCCTGGAAGGCAATGTAAGCCTAATTTCCCACTGAAGATATTGCTGGGCTTTGGAAATAATACAATGGGAAGCATTGTTCCTTTTCCAAACAACAAAGACAGTAACAAAAAATAGTTAAGTGGGGTTAGCTGTACTCAGAGATGCTAGCTTCCTGAGGACTTCTTACATATACACTTACGTATGCTTTTAGATTTCTTTTTTGAAAATAAAAGATACAAGGGAAGAATCAATGAATGTTTTCCCACTGGAAGGAAAGGGATGGAAGCAACCAAAGAAAGAAGAAAACAACATTAGTATCTTTAAATGAATTTGTTAGAGCATCTAGCTTCAAAGGAAAATTCTGGATGACGTCTCTATGGGCTCCTGAATGTACATTAATGTGCATTCCACTGGGTGATGGGAAACAAAAATACAAGAAAGTTGATGGAGACCATAGTTTTTAAAAGCTTAGCCTGATCAGGGCCAAGGTCTGAATTTCACAATAGTTTATATTTTTTCTTGAGGTCCTATCATTCTGGCAAGGTGTGACGGTGCCATCTCGTTTATAGGAAAGCTCCAACCACTCCCTAGATGTGACAGTGGCTATCATTCTGGCTCTGCTGCTGTCTAGCTCCCTGTTGGTTGCTGTCTAACCTGGCCCGTCTCTCCCCCAACCTCCACATTGTTTGGGACAATCATTAGCCTGTGCTTAATAAATTAGACCCTGCAGCTCCTCACCAAAGGGCAAGCTGTTCGACAGCAAACCAGGGGCTCATATTTGAAACTCCCTTGGGTTTTGCCTCTGCACAGCCTAAGATGTGCTGAAGGTGTTTCCTATTGGCAGTCCTTTGGGCCTCTTGGGTTCCACAGTTTCTGCTGCTCAGACATAACTTGCTGTCTTTTTGAGGCACCTGTCAGAAGAGCTCAGCTCGAGTTTTGTGAACCCAACTGCCCTTTAAGTCAGACTACGTTGAACACATTTCTCAACTGCAGTGAAATTCTGTTCTGAGATTTAGCGGCTCAGAAAGCCACTGGCTGTCACTTTGAAGGCTCCTTGGGACTTCTAAAAGGGAATCCTGAATATGTCACAAGACCACATTTTAAGTCAGACCTTCTAAAACACGCTCTCCTTATTAGCGGAAAACTGTTTAACTATTTTCACATGATGTGTTAATAAATGTGATTGTATTCACAGAGATTACTCCAAGAGGATTAAAGGTCATGCTGACCCTTTTGGGTCTAGTAAATCGCAAGTGTCCTCAAACACAGGAAGATTTCTGCAGAGTTGAAATGCTTCTCCAGTAGGCAAGCAAACATTCATAAACAAAAGACTTATTTTTAAGGAGCCTTCCAGGGGGAAACACCTAATGAAAGAAGGAAGAATTGAAGCATGGGTGCTTGGGGTATGCACACAAATACACACACATAGAGAAGTTAGGATGTAGCACGTTGCTTCTGTGCACTTGTGAGGAGTAGGAGATGACCTGCATCGCTCTCCAGGCTGGAAACACAGTTCTCTGGACATGAATGATACCCTCAGCAGGGAACTGGGGCCTCCGGAAATGAGGCGGCCTGTGGTCCTCTGCCTGATGCTAGCTAGAACTCTTCTGAGCTTTTTTCCTGAGAGCCTGGGCAACAGGGCCAGGATGATGAGGTTCATTGCAAGATCACCAGGAACAGGGAGTCAGCTTTCTGCAGGAAGGAGGCAGTGAGTTTTAAAGACATCATCTTTTGAATACTCACTTTGTGCCCTACACTTTTTGTGTGTCTAATCCTCCTTGTTCTGTAATGAAGGTATAGCTAGTCCTAATTTTACATACTGCTGAATTCCCTTCCTTCCTTTTTCTCCATAGCACTTTCACTTCCGAATATACGCTATAATTACTTTGTTTATTGTCTGTCTTCACTAGAATGTAAGCTCTGGCGGGGGATGGGGGGTGGAGGTGGTATTCTTGCCCGTTTTATTCCCCGATTTTCTGGAACCCAGAATAAATGAGTGAAGGAATAAATGAACGAATGAATGGAGGCCCAGAGAAGCTAAGTGATTTTCCCCTATCAAACTACTAGTGAGTGGCTGAGCTAAGGTTGGAGCCCAAGCCCATGTGCTGTGCTGACACACCAGATTATAATGGCAGTTGTTAGGATTAGAATCTAAGACAAACTCTAAGGAAGAAAAATATGAAGCATTTAGGGAATGGCTGACTAATAAAGAAGTGAGTGCAGAGAAAATCACCAGATGTAAAAGGAGCAGGGAAATAAATCTAACTTTTGATCTTTGACATTTATAGGGAGGGTGCAACAGGATATGTGAAGCTGGAAAAGCCCGGTGGTCAAAATTCAAAATGTAAAACTGAGTCCTTCGACTTTTGGCAGGGAACCGTGCAGTGCATGGTCTCCATGTTACCCTACAAGACGTGTATGAGGTGATCCTTAATGGTCTGTACAGGGTTTGGCCTCAAATCCTGACTCCACTGTTTGTTACTGAGTGACCTCTTGCAAATTCCTTAATCTCTGTGAATGGGGATGATTTACATGGGTTTTCTGAAGACTGACCAAAATTCTGCATGTTTCCATTTTTTTGTAATTTTTTTTTGTAAATTTCCAATTTACATATTTCTACTCAATCAATTTGGTGTGGCTGGAGAACAGGGTGTTGAAAGGGAACCAGTTAGGGAGAAATCAGAAGGGTGGCTGGATACACCGTGTTGACCATATTAAAGGATTTTGACCCTGGTCTGTAACAGCGCCTACTCTGACAGCTGAATTGGGATGGCTTAAACTGCCTAGGGCAGTTCCTCCGAGGGCTTCTCTGTAGACTAGGGAGTTCCAGGCGGGCTGTTAGGCAGGCCTCAAAGGGCATCTAGATAAGAACTCAGAACAGCAGGCAGTTTGGGAATTCAGAACAATAAAAACATCAACAGCTAATAGCACATCTACATCATGCTAGGGCACTTCACCCATTTAACCATCACAGAGATCCTACGAAGAGAATATTTTCATTATCTTCATTAGGCCACGTGGAAGATGCCGTTCACAACGGATTTAACCAAGGGCACACGCTTAGGAAGTGATAGGGACACAATTTTAACTCCGGCCACCCCGTTCCAGGGACCCTTTTTATGCCTCACCTCTTAGAACCGAGTGGTCAGAATGCCATTTTATAAAATGTGCTGAGAAGGACCGACATTCCGTTGCCGTAGGGTTCAGAAGCATGGGTCAAACTGTCTCTATCTTTAGGTTTGAGAAGTGTTGCGAGTATCCTCCCAAATCTATGCCCAGGTTCAGGTAAGTACACTTTCAAAATAGCGAAGGAACAACCAATTTCCCTCCCTGTCTCTTCTGTTGGAGATCCCGGGCTGAAAGATTTTGCTCTTTGCAGCTCCCCTGCAGGGCATCCTGCCTCGCCCCCAGGTCCCGGGGACTGAAAAGTCTCGGGGTGGGAAAGCCTGTAACAGGTGGGGGCGGATCGGAGGCATCAACTCCGGCGCAGGCCTTCTCCAGTTGGAACTAGATGATATCCAGTGAAATACGGGAATTTTGTTCCAAGGGATGCCCAAAAAAGGCGCGGGGAGAGCGCGCGGCAACCCCCACCTTCGTCAAACACGCTCCTCCAGGGGCGGCCTGCTTGCAGCAGAGCTCCAAAATTGGCAACCTGGGCCTCGCAGCCGCCTTTTTTTAGCCTACATTCCCCAAACCAGGGAAGAGGCGGGTGACTAAAAATGCAAATTGGAGCCGGGTCTTCAGCAGGCAGGTCCGTGGGTGCGGGGCGTCTGGTTGGGGGAGACCCCACGACCTCAGGTGCCCTCCACTCTACTCGCGGTGGGCGCCGGGAGGGGCGCCGGGGGAAGACGCTCCCCGCCGAGCCGCTGCCCCCGCTTCCGCCTCCCGGGCGGCGGCGGGACAATGCGCGGCCTCTTTTCCGCCGGGGGTTAGGGAGGGGAGGCCGGATTAGGGCCCGCGCTTTCCGGCCGCAGGGCCGGCCCCCCCCCCCCCCCCGCCCCGGCCCTAGCGCCGCGCCGGCCGCACACAGGTGGTTTTCCGCTCGGGAGGGGCAGGCCCCGGCACTTTTATATAACAATAGAGCTCTGCGCGCCGGGAATGCGCCTTCTAGCCGCCGCGGCCCCCGCCCGGCCACGCCTCCATCCGGTTCCCGGCCCGTCCGCCCGGCGGCGCCTCAGCGAAACGCGGCGCGCTGGCCTGGCCGGCACTTCCCCAGTTACCTGCGGGCCCTGCAGAGCCGTGGAGACGTTCTCTGCGACTCCCAGCCCTTCTTGCGAGTCGGGGGTCTCGGCAGGCACTCCTCCTCGACCCTCACCCATCCCAGGCCGTGACGGAACCCCAGAGTCGAGCGTTTGGCTCCACACGGTCGCCCGACACCCCGCACCAGCTGAGCCAGGAGGTGGGGGTGGCGGGGTGCTAGGCAAGGAGCGCACCGCGCAGGCGCGGCTGGTGCTCCGCAAGTGCCCGGCGACCCACAGGGGAGGGGGTTGCCGGGGTGGGACAGAGGCTTCCCCCCGTCGGGGCTCTCTGTGCAACGTGACCTGTCGCCGAGCCTGCGCGAGCTCCCAAGCCTCGCCGCTGGTGAGGACAGCCCGCCAGGCTCCCGCGCGCCCTAAATGCACCTAGCCCTAGCAGCCTCGCCAGACCGGTTCTTCTGTCGGAAGCCGAGCTTGCTGCCCAGAAATGATTAACGAGCGCAATCCCCCAGCGCGCGGTGGGTGACCGCGGGAAGGAGGGGGCGGGGGGGGGCACTTGGATCCCCGGAACAATGGCTCATAACGCCCCAGGCCGCTGGAGAGGAATAAAAGCATCGGATTGTCCAACCAGTTTGTTTCTGCAGGCTCCACTGTTTAAAAACAAAATAAAGTAATTTAAATGCTATTAAAAAAAACCCTTTCTTCCTATTATCTGGACAACCAGCCATTTGTTTGTTTGCTTGATTTAAAATGTTTCAACAAAATCCTAGTTTGTTTCGAAAGATGTTGGATTAGCATTTAACACCTCATCGGTCACTAAAGCCTAGGCAGTTCACCAGCCCCAACACAGCCTCAGCTAAAAGAACATCGGAGCAAACAGAGCTGGGCTTTTTAAACTGGCAAACAAATGCCACACACCGCCTAAAGGAGGGCGGAGGAGGGGGGTTAAGGCGAACTCCAGTCCAAATGAGTTTAAAGGGAATATAAAGGAAAAATAAAAAGCACAAGTTTTCTTAAAGCTAGCTTGTGAGCGCAGGCGTCACGAACAAGGGCTTTTGTGCCTGCTAATTGCACCATTTGTGCGCAAAAGTTCCGACGCAAAGTGTGAACTCTCAACAGAAGGAAACATGAGACAACTGAAGTGCCCTGGTTTATGTGCCCTGCTCCTCCTCCGCCGCCGCCTCCTCTTCTTTCTCCTTCCTCCCGCCGAGCCCGCTGTTGCAGCTTGTTTGCACTGGGGCTTATCCGGAGCGGAAATTCCTTTCCGTTTTTGTGAATGACAAACTCATTAACAATTCATCAACACAACCTGTTCCAGCCGGCCCGTCCCCACGGCAACAGCCCCTTCCGCAGCGCGCTCATTGGCTGGCCGAGAGAATGTATCCATTGAGACGCTCGCTGTTTGTATCCATTGAGGAGCTGCCTCGCGCAGGGGGTGTGCGAGGGTTGAGTCCAAGGGAGAGTGAGCAAATCGAGGTTTGAATAATTCGAGGAGAAAGACGCCCGGGCGGATTTGAGGTGCAGCCTTGAAGGGAGGGATTAGGAGCCGCTGGACTTTTTTTTTTCCCCTTCCTTCCCTCCCCTCCTTAGTAGCAGGGAGTCCGAATTAATTGGATTTCATTCACTGGGGAGGAACAAAACTGTCTGGGCAGCTTCATTCAAAGAGATTCATTGACACCAAGAGCGAACGGGTGCAGCCGGGAGCAAAGGGAACCGCCGGCTTCACTTCTGTCTCGCTTTCCCCAACCGCTAACCCGGTCTGGGAAGGGCAAGGTGGAATTAAACCCCCGCTCGGAGAGCGGCAGCTTCGCGCGGCGCGCTCGGCCTATGCCTGCCCCGAGGGGCGTCTGGTAGGCACCCGCCCTCTCCGGTAGCTCGACCCCCATGATAGATACGCTCAGACCCGTGCCCTTCGCGTCGGAAATGGCGATCAGCAAGACCGTGGCGTGGCTCAACGAGCAGTTGGAGCTGGGCAACGAGCGGCTGCTGTTGATGGACTGCCGGCCGCAAGAGCTGTATGAGTCGTCGCACATCGAGTCGGCCATCAACGTGGCCATCCCGGGCATCATGCTGCGGCGCCTGCAAAAGGGCAACCTGCCCGTGCGCGCGCTCTTCACGCGTGGCGAGGACCGCGACCGCTTCACCCGGCGCTGCGGCACCGACACGGTAGTACTCTACGACGAGAGTAGCAGCGACTGGAACGAGAACACTGGCGGCGAGTCGGTGCTTGGATTGCTGCTCAAGAAGCTCAAGGACGAGGGCTGCCGGGCGTTCTACCTGGAAGGTACGCGCCGGGGGAGTCCCGCGCGCGGGGCCGGGCGGGGGTCGCGGGGCTGTGGGGTGGGTGCGGGCAAGGCACGCGGACTGCCAAGTGCCCCTGCTGCGTTCGCCTGGAGCTTCTGAGTCGCGCTGCCGGGCTGGGGGCCCTCCGCCGGCTCCCGGCTGCGAACCTCCAGCGTCCCGCACCCGTGAGCAGGCTGGCGCAGAATCCACCAGCTTCCGGCCACAGGCACGGGTTGTTTCTCTCTAACGAGTTGTTCTCCTGCCTACCCGTAATATCCTCCACCTGTCCCTGCTTTCTATCATTCGATTTCGAATTACGATTTGCAGGACAGTAGAGGTCACTGGGGGTGTGGGTTGCATCCCCTAGCCCCTCAAAATATTTAGAAAACTTGCCACTTTGTGCATTTCCGGATTTAAAAGAATAAGGGTTTCCAGGGAAGGCGGGCCTGTTCGTTCCACTCCCAAGGGTACCCATTTAAGTGTCTTTCTCTTATAATTGGCTCTGTGTGCAGGGGGTTTCGTAGGGTGCTATGGTGTTTCCTTCGCCCGGTTGCGGCTCTCACAAGCTGTGAAAACTACTACGAGATCTCAGGTTACACGATTGCTTTTCTCGTCCTGGCAGGTGGCTTCAGTAAGTTCCAAGCCGAGTTCGCCCTACACTGCGAGACCAATCTAGACGGCTCGTGTAGCAGCAGCTCGCCACCGTTGCCAGTGCTGGGGCTCGGGGGCCTGCGGATCAGCTCCGACTCCTCGGATATTGAGTCTGACCTTGACCGAGACCCCAATAGTGCAACGGACTCGGATGGCAGCCCGCTGTCCAACAGCCAGCCTTCCTTCCCCGTGGAGATCTTGCCCTTCCTCTATTTGGGCTGTGCCAAGGACTCCACCAACCTGGACGTGTTGGAGGAGTTCGGCATCAAGTACATCTTGAACGTCACCCCCAATTTGCCCAATCTCTTTGAGAACGCAGGAGAGTTTAAATACAAGCAGATCCCCATCTCGGATCACTGGAGTCAAAACCTTTCCCAGTTTTTCCCTGAGGCCATTTCTTTCATAGGTGAGACTAATGAACAGTCCTTTCCTCAGACTTTTAAATGCAAAATTCCTAGCCATTCATAGAATTTAAGCTGTTAATCTCTCTTGTTGCTTGCCTAGCCTGTCAGAGTGCAGGTCTCTAATGTTACAAGGGGGTTCTTCATTCTGGTTTATCTTCTCACTAAGAAAAGAAAAAGCGCCTTTTTGACATGGCTGCAGACCACAGGTGTACTTGAAATGGGGTTTCTTGAGTCTTTGAATTCAGTCATTTGAAGGCAGGCTGTACATGATCAGACAACAGAATTTTCTCACAGTCTTTGGACTTGGGACCGGCTAGATGGAAGTACTCACTACTGACAGGAATTTTAGCATTGCTTTATAATTTTAAAAGATCTGGGAGTTATTTTAGGACATGGGGTTAGTTGTTGGAAAGTGCTATGAATGCTAGATGTTGTAATCCAGTTGAATGTTACTGTGATACCGGTTAACTGTGAGACAGTGAGGGTAACCTGAGCCCAGCAGGAAGGACTGTGGGCTGGAAGCCTGGAGAAGCGAATCTCCAGGCATTGTAATGCATTTCCTATTACAAAGGAACTCATTTTCAGGCCATGTCGACATCCTGTTCCTCCTAATGGGCTGTCCCCTGTGACTTCCCTCTCTCTTTAAAAATGCCTGAATACCTCCATTGTTAGCGGCACAACAGTTGGAGAATAATTTAATAGACCCTTGCAGTCTGCTTGTCTGTATAAAAGGCATTCAAGACCATATTGCAGGGTTTCTGGTATTCACATGCTGAGGCAAAGAATGCACACATTAAGGATTTTTTATTGTTGTTGTTGGCAGAAACTTAATACAAAAGCTCCCTTTTCAGAAAATATCTGAACTATGTAATTGTGCCCAGTGTACATGTTTTATCGCAATGATGCATCTGCTGCTGCCTGTGGGGCTCAACTGCCACACGCGGTTCTTTTTTTTTCTTTCCTTCTTTTTTTTAAAATTCAGTTTTTAGACTGATTGTTCACAAAGAGTGGTTTTTACTCTGCTGAAATCTTGCTTTTCTTTTTGTGTTTACAGATGAAGCCCGGGGCAAAAACTGTGGTGTCTTGGTGCATTGCTTGGCTGGCATTAGCCGCTCGGTCACTGTCACTGTGGCTTATCTCATGCAGAAGCTCAACCTGTCAATGAACGATGCTTATGACATTGTCAAGATGAAGAAATCCAACATCTCCCCCAATTTCAACTTCATGGGCCAGCTGCTGGACTTCGAGAGGACGCTTGGACTCAGCAGCCCCTGTGACAATCGGGTCCCTGCGCAGCCGCTCTATTTCACCACCCCCTCCAACCAGAATGTCTACCAGGTGGACTCCCTGCAGTCCACGTGAAAGGCCCCACGCCCCTTGGTGGGATGTGTCCGTTCCTTTAGCTGTTTCTCTTGGCAGCATCAGCTGGGCTGCTTTCTTTGTATGTGGCCCCAGGGGTCAAAACGACTCCAGTTGTCTGTATTAGACAAGGTTCCCACATGTGGAATTGGTTATTACGATGGGAGAGATTTGCTCCGCTCTTGTTGGAAGACCAGAACATGCTATGTAGATCCAGGCCGTAGGTTTGCTCCATACCTATGTGTACAGCCTACCCAGGCAGGGACTGGAATTTGAGGGTTTCCAGGTATATAGGGTAGGACCAAATGGTAGGGGTAGGAGTGTGTGTTCTTTAGGGCCTTGTGTGACTGTTTCTTTCTGCATCTGGAACTGACTCTATATTGTCTTCAGTGAAGACTGATTCAATATTGCATATAGAGGAGCCAAAGAGAGGTTTCAGCTCTGTATTTGTAGTATCAATTTGCAAAAAATAAAAAATACAAAACAAAAATAAATAATAAATAAAATAAATCTGATACTCCATTTGATTATTGTAAATATTTGATCTTAAATCACTTGACAGTGTTTGTTTGAACTGTGTTTGTTTTTTCTTTGATGGGTTTAAAAGAAATCATCCAAAGGGAGAAAGAGCAGTATGCCACTTCTTAAAACAACAACAACAAAAAATAGAAACGTTTGCTCTTTTCTAATCCAAAGGATATATTTGCAGCATGCTCGACTTCACCAACTCTGAATGACATTTTCATGGACACTTATCACTGAGACCTTGGTATGGTGCAGCCTTTAATCTCTTTCATATATCTTCCTTGTGATTTCCCCCCCTCTTAATGTAGTTTGACTATGCCTTACCTTTGTAAATATTATTTTGGCTTGTGTTGTCTCAAAGGGGATATCTTGGAAAGACACCAAAATCACGGGCTCACTTTTTTTTTTTTAAACTTCAGCTGTGCTAAACAGTATATTACCTCTGTACAAAATTCTTCAGGGAGTGTCACCTCAAATGCAATACTTTGGGTTGGTTTCTTTCCTTTTTTTAAAAAAAATTTGTATAAAACTGGAAGCGTGTGTGCGAGCATGGGTCCCCGTCTGATGGGTGAAGTAAGAGCATATGATTGTGAAAAGCGAGTTAGGTTGCTCCATATGTTCATGGTGTAAAGTTGTGAGCTGAAATTTATTATAAGAATGTAAAACCTTAAATTATTAATAAATAACTATTTTGGCTATTAACTGTGTATTTTTTTTTTAAATCTCTCCTTCATTGTACCTACATGTGAAATGATACTTCTAAGGAATCTTTGAGTAGGGGAGTGCCAGTGCCTTGTAAAGTCCTGTAGGAACAGCGGGGCAGAGTTCCCATGGTTTTAGCAACCCCAGGAATGTTTTTCAGGTGTAGTTTATGAAATTGATCTTTTGCCATAAATAAAGATGACATCATAGAATGAACTGCCTATTATGTGTCCCGACAATATTTTATGAATACGGTTCTGGCTTCTTTAAGAAAATAGTAATGCCCTTGAAGAAAATGAAGCCATAGAGCACACCTTGCTCAGGTATAAGGTTCGGCTGCTCATGACTGGTCATAAAGGGGGGGGTGGGTACCAGAATAAGAAAACACTCACAGTGTTAACCTCTCTCCTTCCCTGCCAGGGTCTTCTACTCAGTAATACACAGGCCAGGGAGGACATAGGGG